ACACTAGACCGACAGCTGTGGTGCCTCCATGGGAACAAACTAAGCTCTCCATATGTGGGAGACAGCTGTGAAGCTTGGACTATCTGAGGGGCCCCTGGCAGTAGGACCAGGATCTACCCCTGGTGCATGAGCTAACTTGTTGGAGCCCATTCTCTATGGTGGGATGCCATGCTCGACCTTAATAATGCAGAGGGAATAGTTTGGTCCTACTCAATTTAGTGTGCCAGACTTTGTTGACCCCTCATGGGAGCCCTTACCTGTTTGGAGGAGTGGATAGGGAGTGAGCTAGGGAGGTACGAGGGGGGTGAGAGGAGGAGTGAGAGGGAGAACTGTGGCTGCAATGTAGAATGAAAAGTTTTAAAAAGAAATACATTTAAAGACAATTAAAAAAGAAGAGGTACAAATGGAGTAGGTTAGGTCCCTAATTCAATCTGTCCATTGTTTTTATTCAGAAAAGCAAGAAGAAATTTGGAATTGGGCATACATGAAGAGAAAATAACTGCATTTGTGGAGAGGCACTTCCTGTTTTGTCACAAAGGAAGAATCCTCCGGAAGACTGAGGCAGATCCTTTCCCAGAGGAAACATACTCATGCTGACACACGGAGGTCAGATGCCCAGCCCCCAGAACTGTGAGGTCATGAATTGCTGTTGTCAGAGTCACACAGTAGACACTCTTGATAGCCCTCTTAGGAAACCAACAAAAAAGCATTATTCCATTTGAGACTTTTCAAGTTGTCTTATTTACTCATTTATGTATTGATCAAGCAAAGATGCATTATTGAGCATCAAGTATGAACCAAATACTGCACAGAACCATGTCCAATCCCTATGTCCAAAATAATGCATCAGTATTCTAAGGTGTTAAATAATTATGATGCTGGACTCCTCCAACCTTAGTCTGTATCAACTTCCATCTCTACCATTCTTTCCCAATAATTTATTTGTCCAATCAACCCTGAAAAACTGTATTCTCCTTCTATCTTGGGCTCAGTCTCTTCCCTGGAAATATGTGAAATTGTTGCTTCCCAGGAGTCATTACTCTCTCCAATCAGTGAGTCACAGGCTGGGGTAGTAATCCAGGCCAGGGACAACCCCTCAGTGTGCTATTAAACCAAATATGTCCCATCCACCCACCACAGGAGTTCAATGAGGATAGCACTGAGTCCCTGCCAAGGTTTATCAGACCCATAAAGTGAGTATTTAAAATTTTAAAGTTTTCAAATGAAATATACAAAGGTTGATTATTTAGCAGTTTATCAACTTTACCCTTTGGTGGCAAAGGGAACAGACCATAAAATAGCTCAAAGGAGATTTCAAAACTACTTTCTACCATTTTATTGCAACTCTAAAGAGAACTAAACAAGTCTCTTGGCAGTCCCTGACTGGCTTTGCCGCCTCTCCCCCTGAGAGAGTGCATGCATTCTTACAGCTGATGCTATTGGAAGCAGTCCACCCTGCTCTCCCTGGGACCATGTGGTCATGCTCACCAATTGTAGTCCTGTGTCTGTGACAAGCAGAGGCAGAGGAACTCTATGAAGTCTTGCTGAGTAAACCCACAGGGAAAGAAGTCATGACTTCATTGTTTCCAATTTCCCTGCTGTCTCCATTTCCACAGTGACCATCTGCCCCAAGGCTTTCTGTCCCTACCACTATGGTGGTCATTTTCCTGCAGTAAGGACTAATGAGTCCAAGGCTGTGTACCCTTAATGTCACTTCTCCATGAGGAGAATGAGTATGTACTACAGGAAAGGGGAGAAGCCAGCTTACCTCTCTGAACTCATAAGGAATACCCAAGTTATTCAAACTGTTAAAATTTTATTGGGAAAACTTGAGTAGCCAACTTATTTTTTTGTTAAATTTATTATTTATCACTGGAGTACGTGTACACGACACAGTGTCCTATCGAGGTCACAGGACACCTTGCTGGAGTCAGTCTTCTTCCACCATGTGGGTCCTGGGGACTGAACTCGGTTTGGTATGCTTGGCAATAAGTGTCGTTTCCCACCCTACCTGCCTCTGAAGAATGAACTTTGAAGTGAACTTATGGGTTCTTTTGTGTCCTTGTTCTTAGTACAGCTTTCATGTTTTTCTAGAGCCCAACTCCCTTTATTTCTTCTCTCTCTCCCTCCCTCCCCCCTCTCTCTACATATATATGTATGTATGTGTGCGTGTGTAGATAGATAGATAAATAGATAGATAGATGATAGATAACTCTCTTTATCTGTGTGTGTGTGTGTGTGAGAGAGAGAGAGAGAGAGAGAGAGAGAGAGAGAGAGAGAGAGAGAGAGAGAGAGAGAGAGAGAGAGAGAGAAAGAGGAGAGACCGTATAACATCAGATATCGATCCTTACTTTCCACCTTGTTTAGGATGGGTTCTTCTGGTCCCTGTCGCTGGCTGACCTATGAGTGTCCAGGGATTCTCCTGTCTCCACCTGAATCCACGGTAGGAGTGGAGTGCTGGGATTAGCCATGGTAGGAGTGCTGAGGTTGCAGAGGCATGTGTGGTTCCTGTCTTACATGAATTCTGGCACACTGATCCCACGGCCTCCCTCACAACTGTAAGCATTTTATCTACTAAGTCATCTCCTCAGCTCACTAATTTCCTTTAAATCTCAGATTTTGATCTAGAAAAAGAAGCACGGGCTTACAATGCCCAGTGTTCCCTCTAAGAGGCAGAGAAGGAGCCCCGGGGTCTTGCACGTACAGGTTCTCTTCAGGGCCTCCTTACCCTTTCATACTTCTGATTTGTTGCTGCAAGGAGTACACACTCTGAAGCTCAAATATCACCCACTCCCAGCAGGACAAAACAAGACTTTCTGGAGGCAAGCCTCTGCCTTAGTGGTTACCACTCTCTCACCTACTATGTAAGAAAATCAATTGAAAATCTACAGCTGCACTGGAGAAGTTGGAAGCCCAGAGTAAAATGCAGAAAATATGAGAAAATCTCAAGGAAAGGATGCCGAGACCTCAGCAAAGGGAAAAACTAAGACCTCACCATTATCAGAGAACTGTGTTCTTTTGCTCCCTTATTTACTTGCATGTTTATTGAACACATACTACATGCCAAGTACCAAGCCAACCTCAAGGGATATAATGTACAAAAGCAGACATGCTTCCGGTCTCGTTAGAGCTCACAGCTTGTCGAGGAAGAAGCATCCATCAAACACGGACACAAAGAAGTTAATTAGGAGTACAGCACTAAGCAATGTGAAGGCTAATTATATGGTACCATGTGGGCATAAGTGAGTCAGTTTAACTCCCTTTAGAGTGGAGGTGGTGGTGGGAGGGTCTTCCTGGAAAAACAATTATCAAGCTGAAACTTAAAGAAACTGTGGAAACCAGCTATGCCAAACTAGAGATGAGGATGAGAGCTGGGTCTGGAATATTCCAGTGGGAATGCAGAAAGAAGCAAAACATCCTTTATGCTTTCTGAGGCGAAACCCTGCTTTGGAGTCCAGGCTGGTCTCAAACTCACAGTCCTCCTGCCTCAGACTTCTCAATTATAAGACTGCAGACAGGCACCACCATGCCTACCCAGATTATCATGTCCTTTTTATCCTTATTTCATTCACGTAATTGTGTGTCTTTGTGAGTGCATGCCAGATGTACTCAGGTGACTACGGTGCTGGGTGCCCTAGAAGTGGAGTTACTGGGTGTTGTAAGTGCTGGACATGGGTTCTGGAGATGAAATTTGGTCCTCTGGGAGATCACTGTACTTACTTAACTACAAAGTCATCTTTCAAACTCCACAACGTACTTTTTCAAAGGAAGAAGGGTCTATGTTAGGATCTTAAAGAGCTGGGTGCTTACACATGATCTCACAGCAGTTGCGACTATTTTGCACAAGATCTGCGCAAGATTAAGCCAACCGGCATCCCAGCTGGATAGGGGAGGAGCTCATGAAGTCCCACCTCCAGCCAAGGAGCTGTTGACAACTAATGGCTGCTGGGGGAGGTAGACTCAATTTTCTTCAGTCATGTGGTTCTTAAGAGGCTACTCATGCTCTGATAGATGGTATGATATCATGCTTGTCCAGGCAACACTAAGTGGACTTGGTGGGTTTAAAAAACAGCAGGTTAAGTTGGGAGATAAAAGTGATAGGAGAGGAATTTAAGAGAGGAAATCACATGGGTTTGATCAAATTATACTATAAGCATCTATGAAATTCTCAAAAATCTAAATACTATGATTATATACCAAGCAGAGGGTTGGGGAGGGGGAGACAGGGAAGAAACAGCTGCCTGATCACCTGGAAGGAAAGTATAAAGTGCTGCTGGAGTGTGAGTAAGAAGTAGGTACTCATGCAGGGCTAGGCAAAACCTATTAAAGCTATTGAAAGTGTCCCAAAGGTCAGTAAAAGCCTTGGGAGAGTTTGCTTCCTAATGGCACACATACCCTTCCTGCTGGAGTGTGGTGAGGTTGGCTGCTCCCTACAAAGCTCTGTATGCCCTGTACCCACTTCAAGTTCAAGTTTACATCTCTCAGAAACGAAAGCAAGCCTGACTTTCCTTGTATACTGATGAGACAAGACCCCATTCCTCAAAAAATGACATTGATCGTGATGGGAAATACTGAAGACTGGACTGAAACCTAGTATGATTAGCAACCAACAATCGAGTCAGAGAATGAAATGAGGTATTTGGAACATCTCAGCCCAGCTGCCTGCTATAGTAGAGGGAACTTGTTCTGAATGGATATCCGTGTCACCTTTAACTTTCATGTGTTCGACCAATCTGTAACACAGAAAGTAGCCAGGACTCTCAGAGATTATCCAAAGTAAGAGTCATGTGACTTAAGTTGTTTACCTTCAGAAATAATGAGCTGATTCATAACAACAGAGAAATAACCACACTTCCATGAGACCAGCCAAGAAAGTCTGGCTAATACCCAAATTTGAGTAAATCGCACCACAAACACATGTTAATTTTGGCCACCCCTTGTTACTTTGCTGAATGTTTATTTCAGATTGTCTAAGCTCTCTGCATTTATTCCACTCTGATCTTCAACGTGCGTCAGAAAAGGGGCTGTTTGTAAAACCCAGATCAGGCTTCCCTGGCTTTGAACCCTGTGAGCTGAAGGCAAAACCCTGAAGGTAGGACCCTAGATGATGCAGCCCCACCTAGACTTCAGCCTTCCATCACTTGTATTACTATTGCTTCCTGAGGCTGGCAAAGACGGTCATGATGCTAAAAAGAAGGTTTTGCTCTCCAGATGCAAGTAGCCTGATTGGAAATGTTATATTTCTTCTCGTGGATCCCATGACAGCTACACACATGGGCAACTTGGACTAAATGCAGGATGGTTGTAGGGTTTGTGGGCTCTATACTTGATCTGTCTCGGGGAATCTGGAAGGGTTTTCTGGATTCAGTGATATGCAATGTGTAGCTTTATCATCTGTTGTCATTGTGTAGAATATCTTTTATAGGTAGTCCTCTGTCCTCTTTTTGTTCCACACCAATCTTTTTTCTTTAACTATATTGTAGACTACCTGAAGAAGGAGAACATGCCTTTACAACATGACTTGAATGCTGACCACATTGTGTTGCTACCAAATATATGTTGGCCCATTAAATTCTTGCAAGTGAGTCATTGGTGAAAAGTGCTGGCTATACCAAATCAACCAGGAATGAGAAGCATGCCAAGGTAGACAAGACTGGCATGAAGACACTGCTTCACTGGTACTTGTTTTCTTTAGTTTTTTTTTCAATTTACTAATGATATAACGGCTCCATGATTTAATTGGCAGGTAGAAGCCAGGAAAAGACCTCACTAACTCACACTAATGAGAGGTAGGCCCATTGCAGTCCAACTGAGGTCCCTCAGTAATTGATTTTCTATTTTTAAAATATGTGCTTTGCTCTCTCCAGCCAACACACACATGCAAGTTGCTTGCCATACAGAATACACTTTGTTCTTTCATTTTGTCGAGTGTGGTTGCATTTTAATTATTTATGATAATACTTAATAGTATATTAGTAAGTGTCCTGTAGAGTGGCATGTAAAAGTAATGAAGTCTTAGGAACATGAGAGCACGGTAAGGCCCACAGCTATTAAATCTCTGCCCAGAAGTGAAGTGAGACTGCAGGGTTCTTTGTGAGCACTGAGGGCCTTGCAGATTAGGGAAACAAAAATCAGCAGCCTTTTCTGAATTACATTTATTAAGTATATAGTGATATTTTAAACACGTAATGAATATGACTAATGGATTTGAATATGACCAACACGTTCAGATACATGTTTTCTCTATGTGTGCTGTTTAGTAGGTATTAAGACTTCCCCAAAACAGGCTCAGCTGGGTTTCTACTTGATGGTATTGTATTACGTACTTTATTTTTACTTTTAACTCTCACAAAACCACATTCTATCTCCAGAATATTGAGAATAATTACAGCCCGTGAAGCTTTTTTAAATTTTAAATTAATATCTTACATAGTTATGGATGGAATTATAATCATTTCCTGAGGAAAAATAAGATTAATGTTTTAAAAGTTATGTAAGACTCGACTTTACATTTTTGCTATTGGTATACTTTACATAGTCTTATTTTTACTTAAATATTCTGTTACATCCAGCTTTCCAATTCCAAATTCCAGAAATAATTTTTACAAGATCCAGTTGAATAAATTCTGCCAAAAAACTCCACCAAATGCTCCCTCTGATACCCCTCCTTCTAAGACGGTCCCCTCCCAGCAAGGACTTTGTTCCACTGCACCATTTTAAAATGTTTGCCCAGTGCCTTTGTCAGGGTAATTGAAAACGTCCCCCAGACCTTCTCAGCCTTTCTGTATAGACCTCATCTTCCCACTCTTTGAACAGCTCCTTCTGCGTCTCCTTCCAATTTTCTTCTCATCCCCCTGCTTTCTCACAGCTCATCCCACATCCTCCTGAAAAAAAATGAACACTGGCACCAAGTCCTTATTCTAATCAGTTCTGTTCCTTCTCCTGCTAATTTCACTGTTTTTTTCTCTCACCTTGTAACATACTCAAAGAAAATTGAAAAGAGCGTTTTGTCCTTTTACTAAAATATCGAGAATATCTGTGTTTTAAGGTTGAACATTTCAAATGGCCATGTTATCATTTGGAGTTCTAATAGCTGCTTCAGTGTCACTGACAGGAGAATAGGAATTAGGCAAACATAATCAGAGCAACTGTGGAATAATAATGTCTTATATTCTTGTGAAAATTAAAATCCAAAGGGAAAGGAGATCTTACCTCCATTTGTTTGACTAATGATTGATGCAAACTCAAAAATAAATGTGAAAATGATTACCCAGCATGAATTATTTTCATGGCCAATATTTAAGAGAAATGTGTTGTTTATTAAAGAAATATATGTGCATTTAATCATTCATAGGGATTAAAATAGTTGCTAATAAAAATAGTTGATAGTGGCTTATTAACATAGAAAAAGTATACAAGACAAAGTAATTAAAGACCATAGCTAGAACAAATTTGGAATAGCAGACACATGGTTTTCCAAGAGGAACTCAGTCCAGAGTCCACATCGAGGGAGAATCCAAGCAAGCTATAGTTGGAAGATTATTGAAAAGTGTTCGACTGTTTGTAGTAACTTCACTGTGATACTATTTGAAGGGAGAGACACCTGCTTAAAATAGAGTAGAATTTAGATTTAGGGCCAGATCACTCAGAACAGTGATTTTATGATAGTGTACAAATTTTATGTAGATCTCTTGTATACAAACTTAGGCTTATGAAATAAGCAACAACCAGGGAGCTCAATGGGTGCTTTAAAACCTGTGAGTCTTGGTCTGGTTAGTGGCACCCAGAATGTAGAGCTCAATGGTCAAGACTGGGATAAATATATTGCACAGGTATTGTGCCGCACATCATTACTGTCTACTGGGAATGCAGACTGCTTTGGGAACTAGGATGAATGTCCCCCACCAGAAGAAATAATTAAGAAACACAGCTGGGCAAGACAGAAGCAGGAGCTGACAAGCAGTGATTTCTAAGATGATATGTCTGCATCTATATATGTATCCATTTACATACACAAATAGTTGTATATTTATGGATAAGTATGCACATGCACCAACATGGCAGGTACTTCACAGCCTGCATCAGAGAAATCTGTGGTATAACTGATCTAGATAAGTTAAAAGAGTTCATTATCCCCTCTTTTATCCCAAAGATATCTAAGAATCTGTGCATCTGAGCAGGTTGGACATCCCAGTGTTCTCCAATTTTGTGGAGAAGGCTAATAGGAAACAGAAAACTTGAAATATATATGTATATTTTCAACCTCAAAGAAAAAGAAAGGTCTGGAAAACTAAATAGGCTTCTAAAACTAAAGTCGGGTTTCTAAAATAAATAGGAATTTGACAGGCAGTGTAGAGAGTTTGAGATAGTGCTTCAGAGATACCAGAAAGGGATAAGGGCTTACCATTCTCAGGAATGAGGGATAGTAGGCCTTCCCACTTGTATGGGAAAAGAACCCAGACTATTTTGTATGTGAATATAAGTTCTAAATAGGGGAGGGCCTATGTACTTGAGAATTTATAGCTTTGTACCTTCCCTAAAAGCACTTTCAAATTTATCTTAGGAATCTGATTTATCAAATGCACACTTTCATAGTTTATCACTCTGAAGTGGAATACCACATACATTCAAATGCAAAATATTTGAGGGACAATCCTCCAATGGATAACTACAATTTATTCAAGCAATTACAATTCAAAATGACCTCACACCTTGACATTTCCAAAACATAGAGCGAGGTCATTCATAAATGGGAGTCATTGTGCACAAACATCAGAGTACACAGTTTTTCTTTACGTAAAGTTTACATATTATCAATTAAGTTTAAACGTTAAACTGTAAACATTTAAATATTTCAAAGTAAATGAAAGAATGATCAAAAGAGTAGTCTTGTGTTTATGTACATGCATACTTATTTATAAATATATACATATTTGTGTATGTAAAAGGATACATATATGGCAAAGTGCATCATTTTGGATATAAAAGGATTAGACAGTTATTGGGAAAAAAGAATGTGTCAGACTTCCTTGAATATAGTAATTAAAATATAACACTAAGAATCTATTTACGTAAGATATTAGATCTATCATTTTATTTTACTATTTTTATGTGTGTAGCTTGTGTGAGTATGTAGTTTGTGTAGGTTGCATGGATGTGAGTGTGTGGGTATGCTTGCCCATGCACACACCTGAATAGTCCAGAGAAGGACACATAGTCATAGGGTGCTGCCCTCTCTCACTCTTTGTCCTAATGCCTTGAGAAAGGGTATCTCAATGTCCTGGAAGCACACAGTTTGGGGTGGAGTGCCTGCCTGGGGGGATGCCAGGAGTTGCCTACCTCCATCCCTAGTACGGGGGTTACTAGCACCCCCAGTCTCGCCTAACTTTTTACATGGGCTCTGGGTGTTTATTTGAACTTGGATAGAGTCTCCTGCTTGCACAGGACATGCTTTTATGCACTGAGCCATTCCCCCAGACTCCAGATTCAATGTGTCTAAAAATGACAGAAAAGCTCAGATCCCGACATTTTATTAGAAGTATTTGATGTGTACTTAGAGTTTATAAAATTCATTGTTTGAAAAGAAGAACTACACTTACTCTATGTGGTTCCAGGAAAGTAGACACATCCCTGAAACTCTGGGAAGCATCGGTTTTTAAATTTAAATCCACATGTATCTTAATTTAAATCAAAGAATTCCTTTTCCCGTCACCATATGCAGACTGCTAGCTCCCATGTTGGATACAAAGACCATCAAGATCAGCAGGTTTTTATCAAAGTTTCCCTTCCAATTCTGCATGACGCTAGGTCAAACAGGCAAGAGGGAATGGCAATATCCTGAAAATAACATCCACGCATCTTATAGCGGCACACAAAAAGCCTTAGAACGCTCCAAGGTGGTGATGCGGCTATGAGTTCATAGCAGCTTCCCAATGAAGTTAGAGAAAATGTATTATTCTTTTTGGGGATAAAGCACTTCCTAACTCTGTTTCACCTTTCTCGGATGAGCTGGCTTTACAAACCACTCTATCCGAGAGAGGTACTACACCATAACCCAGAAGAGGACCACCTCCGGGTTCAGAAGATCTAGATGCTATGATGCCAGGATCGCCCATTTACTGGTTGTGTGGTGTTAGGAAGTTATTTGCTTTATCTGAGCCTCCGATATCTTATCAACAAAATGGGGGAAATGTTACTAATTAATTACTTGGATGAGGGAAGGCTAAGGTAGTTTGCTTAGTGCTAGAGCTTAAGTACACAGGGATGTGAGCTAATGTTCTGTTTTCCATGAATTGTGAGCCTTTCAGAGTGAGGAACTGTGTTGGTCTGTTTGGGAGGTCCACCCCCCCCACCCTCCCCCTGCAGAACTGTTCTGGGCATACAGCTATGTGCACAACTATTCAGTGAGTGACAGTTTTCAGTCCAAAATCAAATCCAATGCTATCCAGGCCTAGATTTAGCTACTTCACTGCTTCCCGTCCTCTCTTGGTTGCTTCTGTGTGTTTGTGGGTCTTCCAGTCACTTTCCTCTGCTGTCTTCTCAGCTGCAATGGTCATAATGGTCTCTGAGATAGGTTA